GACAGATAGATAGATAGACAGATAGATAGGCATGCATACAAATGGATAGATAGATAGATAGATAGATAGACCGACAGACAGACGGATGGGTAGATAGATAGATAGTGGTTTGGTTAATTTCCTTTAACACTGGTCCTGTTGTTTTGGCTCGATTGTATGATTATGTGTATTTGTGCGTTTTTGCGTCTATATGCAATAGGGTTCCTAAATCACACTTGTCAAAGGTTAAATCTCTGGTTCTGATCCTCAAGACCTAATAACCCAAGATAAAATCTTTGACCGAGACTGCCTATGTCAATGAATAAGTATGGTTGAGATAGTGAAATATGAGGTTGTAAGCATGAAAATCAAGTTGTGATGATGTCCATCGAATGATGGACGAAAGGTCAGCCCTTTTTCACCCGAAACGAGGGAGCAAGTCCCGTGGACTGCGTCAACATGAAGTTCGTATAAAAGCCAAATGACTGCAGTACGAGTTTCATCCGTCCTCATCTGACGAGATCGGCCAACGAATCTCTTCTTCATTCACTTGCATACGAAATGAAGGTCCCCATAACTAATTTTGTCCGCCTGACTGTCAGCTTGGATGTGGGTTATGATACGAAAACAAACCTATTCGAGGTCTTATAGTCGAACTGTTCCAGCTTTCTCATCTGCACGCCTCAGGATGCCATTAAAGTTTACCCTAATTTTCTCACCCAATCTGAACTGTGCTTCCGAATTCATCTCGCATCAACCCCTCTCCCCAAACGGGATTCGAACTTGAGTTGTGCCCGTCAAGTGGCGTCAAGGTAATCCACGCCTCTCAATTCAACCCGAATAGCATATACTCACCCCTAATCTCGACGTTGTTCTATTCTCTTTCAGCATGAATATAAAAAAGTCTTTAGTAAGGGCTTTACCAGCTCAGGTCGTTTATGCAGATTTGAGGATGGATAGTGGAGTTTTTCCCACATAATATGCAAGTAGGCTTCATCAGACCAGTACATTTAGCTTGTCTCCCAAATGCGCCGTGGTTTATCTTTACACATCACGTATACTTTCAGAGCGAATATAGGTTACTCATTTTGGGCTAACTAAAATGGAAAAAGAAATCCTTTGGGAGATTTCTGCGTACGTTGCACGGCACTTTACTATGCCCGATCATCAGTCAACCGATAGCGTACCTCTTCGATGGCCCGATCCTCACAACCTCATCCGAGCAACTGGTGACATTTCTGGTGGGCTCTTTTTATCTTTTCTCTCATTCACTCTCAATTGCATTGTGTATTTGTTCTTAACTGGCATTTTATATCAATCGGCATTTCTTCCGTTAGATAACCAGACAAGAATCTCTGATTTCCCAATATTGCACAAATATTTCATCCGGATGAAAAATTACCTTTTTTTTCTTATTTCTATCTTTATCTTTGCTATGGAATTTCCTGTTAAGAGATATAATAACATCCTCCAATAACTAGTTACATCATTTATTGTTTAAAGGTAAAATTTTGCCCAAGTTGAATCATGACAAGAGCAGAAATCTTTTAAGCTAACATATAGACTGACAATAAATGTTTCCACAGTAACAGAAACAACAGACCTCCCAAGTCTTTTGCATTCAGTCAACCTTCCTCCAAGAAGGCTTTCTCCGGACGGGGGTATAATTCCGTTTTCGCAACCCTGTCCTCTCATCCACATCCCTCATTGGACTAGAGACCAGGTTGTGGGCTAAGTGCAGAAACTCGTTAACTCTGTGCTACACAACAATGGGTGTAGTAAACATATCACGAATAACCCTCACGGCAAGCTAGGCCTACTTCGCTGTTTATTTATATAACTTGATTTGTAATTTATATGACAAGTTTGTATTTTTCACGACAATAAACAACACTACTATGTGTATAATGAGTAGGCTGTGTGGTAAAGGAGTAATTTGCCGCCACTTGGCTCATAAGACCACGGTTTGAATTCCGTTCGGATCGCTTACGAAGGATGACTAGTCCAGCGCGGAGGAGAAAGTCTTTTGTGATCTGCCCTAATTTATTGCAGAAAGTTCAACTGGCTGTGCTTCAAGCAGCTTGAACGACCTCGGCTGATTCGGATTTCAATTCAAGAGGAGCTGAGAATTGTTCCAAAATCAGAATATATAAATAAACCTGAAGAAATTCGGTGGTATGCCGTCGATTGTTCTACAGCAAGCCTATTCTTGTATTTTCTTAGAAGAGTAATTTAATATTTAGCTTTCCACTGAGCCTCGAACTTTATCCTCATTTTATGCTGTGTTGCACAGGCGTGGATTCTTTTCGTCCAAGCAATGCTCAGAATGACAGTGTTTTCAATAAGAGTATTCTCTTGCTTTTATTTTTCAGCTTTACTTGAGTTCTTTTTTCGCGTCTCTTTTTCTATCTATCCTTTAAAATGAGTCTGGTAGGCTTTATCTCATCTGCATGCAGATCCACCCACATGCCCGGCCTGCCAATCCTACACATTGCACTCTGGCAGACATGAGAATATTATCAAGTGGGATAGAGCAGTCTTATTCTCTCTCATTTGACGCATTCTCATGTCTTCTCTCCCGCTTCGAAGACTTGGCTTTTGTCCCGGTCTTTGCTAGTCGTCCCGAAGATGCCAACTTCCCTTTGGCCTCCTCATTCTCGCATGTTGAGCTGAAGTAATTTTCAACAAATTGACTCATTGGCTGTTTTGATGCGCTGGTATTTTCGATGGCAAATTCTGCTTTTTGACTAAACGCCAAAATCAGCTATAATTACAGAAGTTAGGTCTTGTATGAAATAGACTCTCGTAACTTTTTGTCAAATAATTAATCTTTGTTCTTGAGGCTTTCTCCTCACTTTATCGAACGAGATGATGAATTAATGCATTGGTTGGCATCTACGATGGCTATCAAATAAATGGCATCCAGATCTACCGAGAGCTAGTTTGGAATTCTTTCGTGCTTTTGGGCTACACACCCGTTTTGTGAGCTTCTTTTGACTGCACATGAAAGCCAATGGCTTTTGAAGGATTTTTATTTCCTTTTCGTAATTGCATTTGTTGGTTTGATGCAAGGTCAGCTTGGAAAGGATTCACAAATCAGCTTCACAGGAAGCCAAAGTAGGATTGCATTTGACCATTTATGACTGTTAGGCTGTGTGGATCAGTTCCCTGTTCATTTTCTTGCGGACCCGATCCGTCCGAGTTGATCTTTCGTCTATCCCTTCGTATTAGTCGTCTTCAGATTTAGAAAGCATCATTTACGAAAATTCAATAAACGCTAAGCCAATAAAATTGACCAGCTACTGTCCCACTTACTTTTTATACTTTATCCTATTTTTAAAGGCATCCCATATTGGCAGATGAGTGAAATGGGTGTATGAAAAGGATGTGGATGTGATCATAGCCCTTTCTTTACCTAAACACCGCTGTTTCATCCTACTATATTGATGTGTGTTTCTGTGTGGGCTTGCACGTGTGTTATGTCTCTACAATGCTTACGACTACTGTGATTTCCTATGGCCTTGGCCAAATTCGAGGCTATTCAAACGGC